ATGGTCCGATTTGGAACCAATAGTTCTAAATCGGACCGGAAAAAGCGTTTTTACATTTTCCATTATAGTTTAACACAAATGAGAGATATGTCAAAATAATTTGAAGTAAAAATGAAGGGAATTAAATGATCTTTCCAATAGCACCTTCGATTTTACGATCGGACTTTATTTATGCCTTATAGAGAGCAACAATTGCAAATAGGTCCGATTTAGACCATTCTCCCCTATTCAGTCATTTGTTCAAATTTAATTGTTATTTCATTGTTTTTTATAAGCATAGCTATTATTATTTCGTCAATACTTTAAAATTATAAATTTTAAAACTTATTAGAAATGTCATAATTCATTTTGAATTATCAAAAATTCTTCGATTTTAATCATAGACTTAAACATAACGATTTTCTCGTAATAATAATCTATAATTATCAAATGAGATGTTACATGATATTAGATGTTTAAATGGAAAAATTTAAAACGAAAATATTATAATTCCTCAATTATTTTTAAAATAATAATATTAAATAATATCTCCAAAGATACGTGCAAAATAACTCTATTATCATTGTACAATTATTCTTCTTCTATAATAAGCAAAAGCGTGAATTGATTACAATACGAGAAATATAAACTGTTAATCATTACACTACAAGAAACCTGATAATTTATTTTGATTTATTTGCAATATTAACGTTAACTGATAAATCGTTCTTTCTTAGTCATAAAACGTGTTATGTAAATGTAACGTTAATATATATGCGGTATCAAGGCGGAATGTTCGCATAACATATTAACTTAACTACTTATGAAATCTGCATACCCCGCAAGTAATACATATATATATATATATATATATACATATATTGGATTTGAACAAAAGTTTATAACGCTACCTCATTTTTATCATGTTTTTTAAAAAAAAATTTGGCAATTATATTATTCGATAAAACAAAATTTCGGCTTTAAGAATTTGTTTTCTAACTGCGGTACGCGATGATTTTTAATGATGGAGTTATGAGCAATCAAAGTCAAAACGCTTCTCTTATTTAATCTAAATTCACAGAATTTTCAGAATTCTTATTAAACAAAAGTGAGTTATTTCAAGTAAAAGAGATTCGAACTATGACCGCACAATTTTAATCGTTTTCACACTTAACTGCTCCCGTTAAAAAATGAAGAAAAAGGTTAATATCGCTATGAGTGCTCCGCGATTTACGAAGCTTCGCCCTGTAAATTACTATTCCTGTGTAATTATAATCAATTTGGGCACCAGCAGAGGTACCGTCGTCGTTAGAAATCTTTGCCGAGCGAAGTTTAAATCCCGAGGTCATTTTCTGCGAGGTAAATGCCAATTAGCCAACCGGTTAGCACGGCATTGCTTGCTGGCTGGAGTACATTACTCGACAACGCGTAACACCCAACCCTCATCACGTTAACTTAACAGCGAAATAACATTCGACGATGTTACGATGCAGTTGACGAAATTTTCCCTCTGCATATGAGTATATCGAAAAAGCGGAAAAGAGGCGGATTTTTCCGTGTCAAGCAAATCGCTACACAAAAGAATGCGATAAAAAAAAGAAAACTAAGAATGTCAAGGGTACCCGTGAAATTGAAGGAAGACACAGTAAATTTTATAGTTCAGCCATTTGTACCTTTGCGCTCAATTAATTTTGAATTTAAATCTGGCCGAGAGCGACACTCAACCGTAATGACGAATAATGTTTTCCGTGATGTAAATAAGTGATTCATAATGAAATGTTTTCCATTGACGCAAGTATGAGACCCGTAACTATGGAAATCTGATGTTGGAAGAGTAATAATTACACCCCAGGGCGTAATGTTTTAATAAACGTTCTTGATGCAAATTAATATCAGTTTCCTTAATCAATTGATTAGAATCGACCGATTTTTCCATATCTCGGTTTCAGGTTTCAGAGAAGGGGAATCATTCCGCAAACCAAGACAAATGCGATCGGACACAGATGAAACCAGTCATAATTCTGACCGGTGATTTCCGTTCTCGTGTATTCTTAAAGCGTAAAAACTATGCGTAAATAATGCCAGTTTTCGCGATTAATGATGCGAAAAATTATGAAACTCGTGGAAGGCGCGAGGAAACGTTTGCTTAGGCGAAATCACGGTTCTCGTTACTCATAACAAATACGAGCGTTGGAATGGGGTAATGGGTGAAAGGGCAGATTATTGAAATCGTATTCCTGCCACTGCGTCCGTCAATGACAGGGAGGAGCACTCAACTTGTGCGAAATAATCAAAAATAAATCGCGCGGAAATCGCGTCATACGTTGCGATCGCGTTCGCTCGTTCTCTAGCTCGGACAGATTGTATGTACTTACCACCACCATTCTTGTAGCAAAGGTACGGGAATCGCCACACATTAGCGAGATCGACGGCGAACCCGATGACCGACAACAAGAAATCGAGCTTTCCCGACCAAGTCTCCCTGCCGTCACCGCTGACGTCCTTCGCAGCATTTTTTACCACCGTCGACGACATCCTTCCGGTACCTGCAAAGCAGCAGCGATAAATATGCTGTCTCTGACTCATAATTACATTCTAATGTTAACATGGGGAAAAAATGTGATTGTATAAATTGGAAACATTCAAACAGTAAATTTCAAATTCAATCACAGAAAGATAATAAATCTGATACTTATAGTTAAATCTATTAAACGTTCTAATCGAGATCAGAAATTCAATTACAATAATCAGAATTCTGGGTACCTATCATGGACATGTCGAAATGAATTCCGATCGGAATTATTACGTTTTCCCTAGACAACACAATAGAAATCTAGGGAATAATTGAATAATTCCGATCGGAATCCATTCCGACTTTTTCCATGATAGGTATCCTGATTAGTGTAATTGCATTTTGTTAATATAATCATAATATACGAATAATAATAAAAGTGCAATAAGAATATCAGGTATTCCTATAAGTATAACGTAGTCGTTCAAACTTTTGCGATTAATCTGAACTAGGCCTTAAATCTTAAAAACCAATATAAAATCGTCATTAGAAATTTCTTATCGAGCAGAAATTGGGCTCAAATGAATTTAGTCGCCATTATATCCGTAATGTTATATTTTGTATTCTTATGGGCATAACCAAAACATTTTTCTTACTAAAATTTCTTAGATAATTTATTAATATGTACCGAAAGTTATTAATGATTTATTGTCCAGTTGAGATAATTGTTGAAATATAATATTGTTAAAGAAATATTTCGCATTCTGCAATATAGCTGTGTTGTATTTTACGTCATCAATAAGTCATGATTCTTAAAAGTGTCAACTTATATTACTTTCTATTTGATTTGAGACTCCTAAATCTTTTACATTTTTACTGTTATCGAATTACAATTCGAAATTTTTCCTTACTCTCAAAATTATTAGCTTTTTGGTACTCATTAATAAATTAAAAAAAGATAATTGGAAATTTTTTTATCCTGAGTCTCGGAAAAAAAAATTATAATGTCGGAAAAAGATAGTATATACAATTAAGCGCAGAATTAAAAAAAAACATGAATAAACGACGAATATATATTTCTCTAGGAAATTCAGGATTTAAAGCGAGCTTTTCTTAAAAGCAAAAGTCTTGTTCGTGCAAATCAACATAATTACATAATCTTAGAGACACGGCTTATGAACGAATGTATAAATCTGCATGCCTACTGCACTTGGGATTAGGCGCAAGGTCGCGAATGTGCGAAGAGCGAAAGGAACCGAGCGAAAGGAAGGTGCAGTATCTATGGGGAGGCGAAGAGGAAGGATAGTGGAGAACGAATAATGCAGATAGCGAATGTAATAAATATGGAAAGAAAATCGACAATTCAATACGTGTGCGCGAAACCAAGTATATAGTTATTATATTATTTATTTGCGTGCTGGCATAAAATACATGTACCTTTGGGAAAGTTTACCTTAAAAATCTTAAAAAGAAATTTAAAACTTACGGTCTGAGCACACAAATTATCGTAACACTTACTTAAACTTAAGTTAGATGTAAGCAAGCTTTGGCATATGATATGCGACTTATTGCTGTGTTTCTTGGGACTCGCACGTTAAACTTGCGTCAAAACTTGTGTGTTGCTTATGTCTACAACTTAAGTCTAAGTAAGTGTTACGACATTTCTTATGTTCACATCCTTACCACTTATAGAAAAAAACTTAAGAGAAAACCTAAGAAATATGAGAGGTTTTGGACATTAGAAACTTTTGTTTAAAATAATATTAAAACTTACTTAAAAAAAAACTAAAAAAAACTAAAGAAACTTAAAAATTGTGAAGAATAAATTTCAACAATTTTAAAGTTTTTAATAAATCGTTTGTTATTGTTTGAAATTTTTTTAAGACAATAATTGTAAAATCATGAATTTGTTTAAATTTCAAGGCAAGATCCCTTTATACATAAGAAAGCTTGCCATTAAAAAATTATTTCACTAAAACACGAATAAAAAGTTACATAACGCTGTGCCTTTTATTCTATCCTTTATTCTGGATTTTATTTATGAGAAAATGCAGCACCGCCACATCCATCTAGTGATATCACGTACTGTTCACGGGTGAACTTTATGTCAACTGAACCTTATTTCTTCAAAAATTCTAGATACAATGGGGAAATAATAAAACTTTCAGTTTTTCTAAGATTATTTTTAAAGTCAGTCTCGAAATATTTTAAAGTTCTTAGATTATTCTGGATTAACCTTTTACATTTTAAATTATCTCAAAATTTTTTAAATACACTCTTAATTACTTTTAAAAACCTTAACGTCATTTAAAGTAAATTTTCCCAAGGGTATGTGGGAGACAGAAAGAGAGAGAGAGAGAGAGAGAGAGAGAGAGAGAGAGAGAGAAGGACGAGGGGGAGAGAGGAGCGCGTCGCGTGCGCGACGGGGCGCGGCGCGGGCGCGTGTAATTTGGCGACGACAAGTTATCGATAGCCCTTCAAGCGACAACGCTCGACGCCCCCAACGAGCCTCATTGTACCCCGTGACGGGTACCGGTCAAACAGCGTATATTTCAAAGGCGATCGCGGGCGATCCGGCTTCGAGGGGCCACTCGACGAGGGGTTTTCTGTCACGCGCACTGATCCACGCTTATCCACGCAGACCGACCCAGTTAATTGATATTCGGCGGTCGCGGAGATACCTACTGATGCGCGAAGATGGACAGCGACGAAAAATCACCCCCACTGCCGTCGCCGCGTCTGTCGCGAGATCGCTCGCACGCGTTTCCGTCGCGATGTCAGAAATCGGTTTGTTGAAAAAAAAACCTGATCAGATATATAAATAATGAATTGAATAATAAATTTAAAATGCGATCTAATAAAATTAGATCAGCACAACGTCTTACTATAATCATCAGCTAAATAAAACCGCATCAGTCCGCATAAATTAAATGCATACTTTAAACACACATAAAGCGATTGAGATATACATATCCATATAAGAGCAAATATGATTTTATACGCATATTATTTGTTAACATTTTTTTTAATTTACTTCATTTTTGGTAATTTTTTTTAATTTGCAGATTTTTGTAGATTCTTGAACAGTACATATCAAATAAATAATGTAGACAACAATTTTCGAGTAAAATTACACGGAAAGAATGGTTTCGCTGAAATATTTAAAATTTTAGTTAGATACAAATTTGAAAATAATTGTGGGCTCCAATTGGAGATTATACGTATAGGTTGACGTGACGAGTCAACGAGCGATCTGTTTGGAGTTTTCATGCGTAAGATCTGTTGGACAGCTGATTGGAGAGCGAAGAGCGAAGAGTGCAGAGTCAGTCAATGTAAAAGCGTCAATGCAAATAGATGTGAAATCGAAGTCAGCGAGAAAAGAATTATTGTAAAGAGTGTGAGCGAAAAAATTATTAAATATAATGTTTTTTTCTGTAACGGACGATAACTTATTTTAAGTAAACTGAGACTGTTCCCTGCATAATTTTCTTGGGCTTTTGGTATCGAGGCTATAATTTTGTTGTTATCAAAATAATTATGTAGGACACTCAAACTGATTGCAAAAATGTCAAAATATTTGACAGTATTTCTCATGTTTTAAATAATAAAATTATTTTGATGATTCAACAAAATTATTTTCAAATTTGTATTTAGCTAAATTTTTAGATACTTGAGCAAAATTATTTTTTCTATGTAATATATGTATTCAAATTGTTTGATCGATTAATTGCTTTAGAGGAAACAGCTTTCGAAAAATAATAAATTTAAAATACGAAAGGCTCTCCAAATAAATTAAACGATTAGATACGTTGATGTAAAGGAATTGCCAAATGTGAGTCGACATCAGTTGTTCGTGGGTAATCCAAAATGTATATTAAAAAAAATTTTTCGAAAAATGTTACTATTAAAAATAATATATTTTTAAACAAATTATTTAATAAAATTTAATTACTCAATTTATTAACGTATCTGTCCTGTTTATCTATCACATCAATTATAGTATTTCTCTTATAACAAAATGCTAAACATGTAAAAATTACTAAAAAAAAAACTCTCTTTTTCCTTCCGTTTTTCTTCTAAGTGCGAACAATGTTGACATTTTACTCGATGCGTCATCAATTCTTAACAAGTATTCCAAAACTAATTTTAACGATGATAATAGTTAAAAGAAGATATAAGGAAAGGATATAAGGATAATAGTTAAAAGAAGATATAAGGAAAGGAGTGATATAAGAACAATATTCTCTAGAAATCGAATTTACGTCGACATATTTCTAGAGCGAGACCCTCTCGCGCCTATATTTATTCGGGGACCAGTCTTTTTCCGCTAGGAAAATCTCTCGAATCACTCACCATCCAAGGAAGTAAATGAATTAATAAGCGTAACCGCGATTGGGGATTGCAAATATAGCGAACCACAAATGGTAATATATGCACACGCACACGAGGACAAGTAGGACAACCGCAATGACGCGGAATCGGTTGCCGTTGAGATTTCACATTTTTTTCGACGATTTTTTTCTATCGTATTTTTAAACTAGCCACACCTTATTAATTCTTGCATCAACGCGAAACAGGTCTCATTTTCTTCTTTGAGACTGGAATAGCGCGATCGTTCTTAAAACACCCAGGCTTCTTATTACAAAAGATTTTTATTCTATTACAATTTTTAAAAACTGTAAACGAGAATTTAAATTATAGTTCGAAAAATTTGATATAATGTCAGATTTCTATTTCTGTTACGTCAGATTTCTGTTTTAATCTATATTTTGTATTACATATTTCTTTCCTTTTTAGATAATATTTTAAGTTGATTATCCTTTTTCGCCAAATTTTCTCATCTTTCGTTTCGTTAAAATATTAAATTTTGGCAACGCACACAAATTTTTTAAGATCAACTTATATATAACTTATTATAATTTCATTTCGAATGGTTATTATTAAATATCTTTGTCGATAACTACCGTTATTAAAACAAATATTACGTGTCAGTCTCCTGAAAATTGTAGAAAAAATCAAATTCAATTTCAATAATCATCTAAATCATTCGCGATGCAGTAACTATATTTATCTCAATTACACTTCATAAAACTGTACGAAAAGTAAATAATAATAAGAAAATTTGTTAGTAAAAACCAAGAAATCTATTGATAAATAGATACGTAATATACTTTTCAAAAAATATATACATATATAAAATTTCATCTATTCTTTAACATTGTACTAGTATATTAAAATTTAATGAATTTATTTAAAATAAGTAATCCCACATAAAAAGTTTCATAATTTTTATATTTTTAATTACTTTTAAAATTATACTATTATAGCTCTCTGTTTATGCACATCAAATCCAATTAATGAAGAATACTTATTTCTTTTAATGATAAAAAAATACACAAAATTAGATAAGTATTGTTCAATTCTGATACATTATTCACCTTTCAAAAAACAGCCAGAGATATTGAAATAACATTTGCATGAAAGACATCTATTTGAGATAACATAATTTAAAGATGAATAGATACGTAGTATTTAATTATTCATGATTTGAAAAACGCATATGCACGTGAATACATTCAGATAAATTCCAAGTCCTAATTGTTGACATAAAATCTATTATGCATGAAACGCATAGAGAATTATTCCTGTGTCGCAATAATTTCTATAAATATTCGAAAAACTGTTAATATAAAAAATATTTATATATATCCCTCCATAAACAAATATTAATCTTCTTTAAACCAATCATATATATTATTATCCTATAAAAATATCTGCGAAGTATAATACATTAATAAAATAGGGATAAAATTATAAATTAGATTTTTTGCACCGGCATAACACTTGTCACAATTTTGCAATTTTAACTTTCAATTTTAATCTTCGATACAAATACAAAATTCTACGCAATGTTTACTTAATCTAAAAATCACAGTTTAAAGTGTAATTCTTACAAATAATCATAAATTGTCTACAATTTATTATAATGTAAATAAATAAAAGAACCACAAAAATGGCATAGCTTTTTCACGCTTAAATAAGTTGATGAAAAACTTATTTAGAAAGACGATACGCGCAATTGAAGTGAATCGTGAAATGACATTTTCGCCCGTCACAAATGCAATCTTCATTAATTCTTTTGCCATGAGATATCTCGTAGTCATGTCTCTTTCTGCATATTATTTATGGAATATATTTTACAGAAGATATCTTGGTTTTATTCAAACACACAAAGTAGAGGTGACAATTTCTCTTCACACTAACTATTGTTGCATGTGTTCTTCGTACCAAAAAAAAACTTTCACAACGAGAAAGAAGAATATTTATTCTTTATGTTATTCACTGAATATTCACAATTTTTGTTAAAAAAAACTCATAAACCCTAAAAAAATGTCTGTCAAATCGTACGAATCAAAGGACATAACGATATCTTTGTGTCGTTGTCTCAAAATAAAACACGAACTCTGTATGATAGGGATTCCCTGCATCTAAAGTCACGATGTGAAAAAAAGAAAAAGAAGGAACTTACCGCGACGACCTTCCCTCGTCTTGAGTATAAAGGTCTTCTACTCTTTTCTTCCGCGAATTCCTCCGTCGAGGGAAACCCGAAATGCCGCGATCGGGGCGGACGGTTAATCGGGTACGATTTGCGATGGGGAACTAACTGCTCGCGAGTAGCGTTCTGGTATCAAATATTCAAATAGCTATGCAAACGTGGTAAGGTGACCGACGAATATATAGGTATAGTGGGAGAGAAGATCTGTCGAATTCGAAGAAACTAACGACTTCGGATAGGAAGTTTCCTGCAGCGGAGTTACCCGAGAATTACGAACGTGAAACTAATTAGATTTTCCTTTAACCGGCAATTGAATCTTTGAGACAACACTCAATCGACTCGGACATCAATGTGTCGACAAATGATCGTTTCATTCCCGACGAGTGGATTTTCACAAATGTTGATATCCTTCAATGGACATGTATTTCGAGGGAGTACAGGAAGTATTCCAAGAGATGTAAAGATAATAGGCGTTATCTCGACGATTCGAGTGTTTAAGACAAAGCATCATTGACATTTTAAATTACTCTATACTGACCTTTAAATCATTCTTCCCACATTAAGATAACGCGCAATCAATACTGCTTGATTAAGTAACTTTCGTGTATAATACAATATTGTGTATAATGCAATATGTATTATAATACGCATTGAAATATTTCTTATTTTATGAACGTTTTGATTGATAGATATTTTTTCATATGAGACAAATATTGTTTAGAATTAGAATGGCACAATAAAACGGTAAACTTTAAATTTGTATATATTTATCTGTATAGGTATATATTCTTTAAATATAAATTATTTTATGTATTTGTGCGCATGTGTAAATTATTTAAATATAAACATATAATTTCAAATACAATAATAAAATATAACAAAATAAGTAAATAATTAAATAACAAAATATAATAAAATAAGTTAAATAAGTAAAAAAAGGGATAAATACAGGCTAGACCTTGGTACCTAATGATATTATATATATATAAATTTTAAATACATTTTCAGTTATATAAATTTTATTGTTGAACTTAACAGTAATCATAAACTGAAGCTAAAATAATAATATCACAAATTAAATTTATCATCAATTTAATAATAATGCTAGTAAACATCTTAAAGCACTGCAAAGAATTTATTGCGAAAAATAATATGTGTAACATTATATAATATTTTTTCATTTATTTGTTTTAAGATACTTATTAGCCTTATTAATATTATTACATTGACGATCAACTGATATTATTGTTTTCAGCTCTAGTTTATGATTGCTGTCAAATCCGATAATAATTGGCACGTAGTTTATATAACTGCAAAATGTATTTAAAATTTACATATAAAATATTATCTATTATATACTAAGATCTAACCTGGATCATATCTTGCCCTTTTTATTTATTTAACGGTCTAGTTTAACTTATTATATAATTTATAGTTTTATTTCATTCTTAGAATTTTTATCTCGATTCTAATCATTAACTCTGACGAATTTAACATCTCGAGAATTTTAATTTGAATTCTTGGCAAAAATTTGGAGCGCAATTAATATTCGCCATAACTTTTCAATAGCATTACTTTTGTTTTTTTAATTCAACAATAAAACAGCTCTAAAAACTTATGAATAATCTTAAATATATAAAGTTATCCAGGAGATTCCACTTTTATTACATAAAACTATGTATATAGTCATGTTTTATTATTTATTTGTAATTGTTTCTACCCATCAAAAAGTACTTTTTATTAAATCGTTCAATCACTTCTAAATTCTCAATTATAGATAATAATCAAGAATTATACGCTCATGAAATTATAAAAAGTTGATGCTAAAAAATAATATAATTATATAGTAAAATTATGTTTACAAATGATAATATTGTTATATGAAATAATTAAATGTTAATATGGCTCAATTAGAATAAATCAATAAATAAAACAAGGGCAAACGAGCCAACTACAATATAAGATCTTTAATAAACGTATATATATACAATAATCAAACGTTTCGACACCGATCGGGTCATTTTCAATGTACAATAACAAAACATCTTACATACATAATCAGAAATTTAGTTAAAATATATTGTCCAGTGAGAATCTGGTTATATTCATAAAAAGCAGTCCATATTTAAAACTATTGAAGAGATCAAAACTCACTTATCGCAATTCTACCATCTCATATTGTCTCAATAATGTAATGTGGACAACGATAGGAACACTCAGTTAACAAACTTATATTTAATAAAAGTTATGTATGATAAAAATTATTAAGCCATGATGCGCCTGAATATAACGTTTTGACTCAATCGACGTCAAGCGACATTCATTGTTATATGAATTTTTTTATTTAAGTGCGAAGCTATTACAAGGTACATAAAATCGGTTGATACAACGTTCGTAAATAAAACTAAAAATTTTCGAAAATAATTGATTTACAGCAAACCAAATATTTCACAAAGGAAGTGTAGTATCGTGTTCGTAAACAAACGTAAAAACGCGTAAAGTATTCGACATGTTAACGTTTGGTTTTATGATCTATTGAAAACGTGCAAATAAATCTAACGTTGTACAACAATTTCCTAGGAAATCCTAAATTTAGGATTTCCCGGAAAATCCCATTATTTTAAGGTTCTAATATAAAATCTAAATACATATCGAAAAATTATGATAAACGGCAAATCGAGAAAAACCTATAGAACCTATACATTTTTAAATTATACACACGAAATTCGAAAATTTATGGTTGCATCAGGGGGTCATTGTGTACTTGAAAGGATATGAAAATTATAAAAGTGAGCAAATTCATTAGAATGTTTATAATTTCATTGGTCAACATCTAGTGAACTTCGTTTTTGTAATTTCCACCTCATCTCAAGATACATAATTGACTCCTAGAACCTAAAATAATGATCACTCTTTAAAATATATACAGCTACGGGGTACCATCCAATTTTGTTCTTTCTTTTTCTAGTATGTCCAGGAAAAAATATTTCTTTTTTAAAAGATAAACAAAAGAATTAGAATCACTGCCCGAAGATTGCAAACCCATAGTCGCCGACACCCGTCGGGGACGACGGGTTCGTTCTTAGCCGCGGCTCCATCCGCGAGCGGGAATTTTCTCGAATTAAGTAGCGTCGCGAGAAAGACGGAGTGCGAGAGCTGTACGCGGGACGACTGTACTTACCGAGTGTCGCACCGAAGACGACTAACGAGCGACGGCGTGAATGTTGCAGCTTAGCGAGACACCGCGACACTGACCGCGCTCCTCGGTCCACGGCAGGACTCCCACGACGAAGACTCGCCACAGGGTCAGAAGTAACTCGAAACTGGTATCCGTCAGACCCATGCCCGATTAGCGCGTCGTCGTTCTTTTTCTTGCCTTTCTTCCCTTCGCCCTCGTCGACACCCCTGCGTTTCCGCGCCGAATTCTCTAGAGTAGGTTTCCTTCTTCCCGCGCGTTACTAGAAGAGAAGACTATTTACCGCAGAAAAAATGCGCGTTCGAATCCAGATGGTTCGCGCGAGTCACTCGCGTTATTCTACTCGAGAGAGTCCTCGCGCATTCCGACGGCGATCGGCGGGGAGGTGAAGTGAAAGGAAGAAACAAGATCGCGAAAGGACGTTTAGAGGCGGACCGCGAATTTCGAGACGTTCTCCAAAGACTTCTCTAAACGACGTGCCGCCCTACCGCGAGTTATTTCCGGCGGAAGAGCACGAGGAAGAAATTCGCGTCCCGTTCTCTCACAAGATCAATCGAACAAGCACCAAGTTGAAGCTAAGAAAAAGAAAAAAGAGGAGAGCAGAGACGCGGAGGTGCAAAACGGGGATGCGGTAGTATTTCTTTCAGCACAAACAGGGGAACCTCGTCGCAAAGGATCGAAAGAGCGAGTGGCGAATTTTAGCGCCCGTCGGCGCGTATATACGCGCCATGGTCACGTGGTGCGCGATCGCGACCAATCACTGCACGCGCGCGTGCGCTGTCGCTCGATGGGAAATTCTACGCACGCATCGATAAGATGTCACCTTTCTAAAAAAAAGGGGAGTGAAAAACATGTATACATATATGAATTTATTTTTCGTTTATTAACATATATTAATTAATATTATTTTACTAATATACAGGGTGACCCATTTTAACTTAGCAGCCAAATAACTCGAAACATCGCGATTAAATAAAAAAAATGTTTAAAACAAAAATTGTTGGATATGAAGGGGCTGATAGAACTATAACCTTGACAATGACCTTGACCTTCATTTTCAAGGTTATTTGAAGGTCATGATCATTTTTTTAAATGGAATTATATGAATTTTTTTACATAATATGATTCCTCTAATTATTCTGCATATAAAAGTATTAAGGTAGCGATATCGAAAAACCAATAGTTTACGAGATATTTTATATTTCATTGTGGCACATATTGATATAAAATATTAAATAATTCGTAAACTATATTAATTTTTTGATAATCG